AGGTGTCAATCCATATCTGCCAAGTGACCATGTAGGGGAACAGTCTCTATTCTGCTCTGTGTCAGTGTGTATCATGGTCTCTGAGGACAGGTGTCAATCCATATCTGCCAAGTGACCCTATGTAGGGTAACAGTCCCTATTCTGATCTGTGTCAGTGTGTATCAGGGGCTCTGAGGACAGGTGTCAATCCATATCTGCCAAGTGACCTTATGTAGGAGGAACAGTCCCTATTCTGCTCTGTGTCAGTGTGTATCATGGTCTCTGAGGACAGGTGTCAATCCATATCTGCCAAGTGACCGGATGTAGGGGGAACAGTCCCTATTCTGCTCTGTGTCAGTGTGTATCATGGTCTCTGAGGACAGGTGTCAATCCATATCTGCCAAGTGACCCTATGTAGGGGGACCAGTCTCTATTCTGCTCTGTGTCCGTGCGCATCAGGGGCTCTGAGGACAGGTGTCAATCCATATGTCAAGGTGTCAATATGTCATATGTCAGGTGTCAATCCATATTGATTGTGATTTAGGAATGTTAGGTGATTTCTGCCCCTTATGGATTAAAACCAGACTCTGTATCAACTGTGTAATTTTCCATGGGAGTTTTGCCATGGATCCCCCTCCGGCATGCCACAGTCCAGGTGTTAGTCCCCTTGAAACAACTTTTCCATCACTATTGTGGCCAGAAAGAGTCCCTGTGTGTTTCAAAATTCGCCTGCCCATTGAAGTCTATGGCGGTTCGCCCGTTTCCTACCGGTTCGCTTTAACATTTCGCGAAGTTCATGTTACGTCACAACCGTAGTGTACCCCTGGTTCACACATCACTAATTAGCAAGCAATAATCAGTACGGTTTTATGAAACATAGGTCATGTCAAACATGTCAAACCAATCCTAATTGCATTCTACCAAGTAGAAGTATAGATCAGGGTGTTGCAGTGGATGCGATCTACTTGGATTTTGCAAGGCATTTGATACGGTTCCTCACAATAGGTTAGTCTTCAAACTAAAAGAAATTGGTCTAGATGAATATTCTTGTTCTTGGTAGAACATTGGCTTAAGGATAGAGTACAACGAGTTGTAATTAATGGTAAATTTTCAGGCTGGACAAAAGTGGTAAGTGGTGTCCCTCAGGGTTCTGTTTTGGGACCACTTCTATTTAACATATTTATAAATGATCTTGAAATAAGCATTGAAAACCATGTATCAGTGTTTGCAGATGACACAAATCTTTGTAAAGTAATAAAATGTGAGCAGGATATTGGTTTGCTGCAGAGAGATTTGGATAGATTGGGGGACTGGACACTAAAATGGCAGATGAAATTTAACATAGAGAAATGCAAAGTGATGCACTTCGGGGTTAAGAATGCACAAGCAACTTATACACTAAATGGTAGTGAATTAGGGATAACCACACACGAGAAGGATTTGGGAATTGTTATACACAACAAATTAGGCAGCAATATGCAATGTCAATCTGCAGTTGCTAAGGCCAGTAAGATTTTGTCATGTATAAATAGGGGCATAAATTCTCGGGATGAAAATATAATTTTGCCTCTTTATAAATCGCTAGTAAGACCACACCTTGAATATGCTGTGCAATTTTGGGCACCTGTTCTAAAGAAGGATATCATGGCACTGGAGAGGGTCCAGAGATGAGCTACAAAATTGATAAAAGGAATGGAGCATTTTAGTTATGAAGAAAGGTTAAAAAAATTAAATCTGTTTAGTTTGGAAAAACGGCGCTTGAGAGGGGATATGATAACTTTATACAAATATATTCGGGGCCAGTACAAACCTTTATCTGGAAATCTATTCATAAACAGGGCTATACATAGGACACGAGTTCACACATTTAGGCTGGAAGAAAGGAGATTTCATCTAAGGCAAAGAAAAGGTTTTTTTTTACAGTAAGAGCAATAAGGATATGGAATTCTCTGCCTGAAGAGGTGGTTTTGTCAGAGTCCATACAGATGTTTAAACTGAAATTGGATAAATACTTACAAAAACATAACATACAGGGATATAATTTCTAATTAGTGGGGTAATAGCTGCTTGATCCAAGGAGTCATCTGACTGCTATTTTGGGGTCAAGAAGGAATTTTTTCCTAGTTTGTGGCAAAATTGGAAGCGCTTCAGACCAGGTTTTTTTGCCTTCTTTTGGATCAACAGCAACATTTCTGAGGAAGGCTGAACTTGATGGACGCAAGTCTCTTTTCAGCTATGTAACTATGTAACTATGTACACACATACACTCCACTTCTTGTGAGAGAACTCATGGGTGGGCCATGTAGGTGGATTTATGGGTGGGCATTGTAGGCATACTCACGGTCAAGCCCTGGGGGCCCAGACCTTGAGCTGTGTAATGGGCCCTACAAAATGGAGCTGCTTCCTGTTCGTTAATTGTTGTGTGCACTGTTAAAAACAGTCTCCAGAGAGCCTCTTCTACACCAGACCTATGGAGCCAGACTGAGCCCATAATCAGTTTCTTGCCCTCATCTGGTGGTAAGTAGGCAATCCAAAATATTATTAGTGGCACTAATCTCTAATTTGCCTCACCTTAAATGGATACTATAGTCACTAGAAGCACTACAGCATACTGTAGTGGTTCTAGTGTCTATAGCCTGTGCCTGTAGGCTATTTAATGTCAACACACTGTTGGGCCCATATGGCAGAGCATATGGGCGGGACATTGTGAAGTCACATGGTGGGCAGGACATATGGGGGGGGAGCGTCAAAAAAGTTTTTGCCTAGGCGGCAAAAATCCTTGCACCGGCCCTGCACACAGGGAAGCTATAATCAGTTTGGGAGTACTATCTACTTGTTCACGTAGGTGAACATCCTGACCAGTGCTGACACATTAGGAACAACCTTTTGTTTCTCAAGAAGAGCATCCATCTTGCTCACCATATGGGTGAATGTGGGATGACCTATCCCAGATTTGTAATGCCATGGCTTAAATTCGAAGTGACACCCCTTAATGATTTAAGGACTGCCAATTGCAGAGCTTTCACTATCCAATCCCCTCTATCTATACAGTACGAATGTGCTGGCCCTATGCCAGATTATAGTTTGCCCTCCCTATGCTGTTACAAAGTCCTCTTCAGTATCCCCCAAATAGAGTTTTATTGTGGACTGACATATTGTCATAGCCAGTGTGTGGAAAGACCATATTTCCTTGCTCCTACCTCAAGAGTTAGCTATCTTTCACACTCTGGTAGAAATGCCTGGCAATTCTCCTACAATAATCAAGTAGGACTTCCACTTTATTATTTCATTTGGGGATTGCTGACTTTATAACAAAGTATATTGTGTGCTGTGCAGTGTACATCAACAAAGTCACCTTCTTGCAGATTTCATCACATTTGAAGCTCTATAGGTGACAATAAACCCCACTTCTACATTGGTACCACACTTCCAGGAAGGAACCCTTCAACGCTACTGATAAACTCCCCCCTTCTGGCCAGCACCCACAGTCCCTTGTTGAACTTCCAGTAGCAACTTACTCAGTAAAGTACATTGACTAACCTTAGCCATGTCATCTTTCATAACTGCAAAACAGGAATGAAAGTGGAGCAATAGTGGAGCATTTTTTATTTTGTGCACCATATATCTAAAGTACAGTTTTTGTGTTAATATTTTGAATGTGAGGTCTACTGCATGTAATAGCATTTATATTGCACTAAAATGTCACCTTGCACTTTTTATGTATTTGGCACTTTAAGAATTAACATATAGTACTTTTTTTTATTAAATCCACTTTTAGATTGGTGCCTATTTAGACCTTCTTTCTGGACTGAAGATCAAGTAAAAGGGGGTGTTTTTGTTTTACTACAAAGGAAAAATAGGTTTCTATAGTATGGGAATAGGCATACGCAGCTACAAAACAAAAGAAATATACAAATACAGAATAATCTTTAGCACAATAACAGTATACACAAGCTATACATTGTCCTTACTCAACAGAAAAAACAGGCAGGTTTATATTCAATGTATGCAGACATCAGCAGGAGGTTGTGTACATATAAAGGCCTGTAGCTTTCATCCATTCACAGCACTGATTTTCTAGGTCGTTGCCTCGGTATCTAAAAAAAAATGGGAAAGGTAAGATAAAACAACCATTATTGATATAGATCAATTTTGCTTTATTAAGCTTTAATACATATTTATATATGTATTTTTAGTGGAAATATACTGATACATACAGTATGCATATACTGTAATGTATAATTACTGATTTAGTAATTTAGTAATTACTTTGTGTATATTAATTAAATATATATTTTAAAATATATTATAATAAACTGCCTTACACAACAGAACAAAAATTGTATGTATCTATTTCTTCAGAATAATTTATATGTTTGACACATTTTATGTAGCTTTTCTGATGGATGGGCTATTTTTTATTTGTATTTTTTATATTTTTATTTTAGGATATAAACTATACACCAAAAATGTATTTAATAAACCAGTAAATATTTGATTCAAATAAATACAGCTATTAATGTAATACACGTTGTACTGGATTTGTTACATTACAAATATGACATTTATATGTTTGCAAATATAAAAACATCTAATAACAATGATAAATGCCAGTTAACAACTGACTTTTGATTGAATAATGATTAATTAACCAGCATCTATTATTTTATTTGACCCAAGGCAGTGTCATAGACTGCAAAGTTATTAGAAACTACAGAAACATGAACTGAGATTACATTACCAGGCCTAAGATGACATCATTCTTGGACAAATATCTCATTAAATTGTAAAACTTTTTCACAGATTATCTTCTATGAAGATCGGAACTTTCAGGGTCGCTCATATGAGTGCAACTCAGAATGTCCCGATATGACCTCATATTTCAGCCGCTGCAATTCCATTCGTGTGGAAAGTGGAAACTGGATTCTATATGAGTTCCCCAACTACAGAGGACACCAGTACTATCTCAATAGAGGAGAATATCCTGATTTTCAGCAGTGGATGGGATTTAATGATTCTGTTAGATCATGCCGTCTAAGTCCCCATGTAAGTATGAAAACAATATACATAAATACATTTCTTTGAAACCAGGTGTAATATGGATGTTTTAGGAATTTTATTGTGTGTTTTTAGCTTAACAGGCAACCTCAGTAGCTATTTCCTGAATTGTTTCCAGACGGGAATAATTTGACAAAGAATTTTGCTTTTTGACTTTTAAAAAACCATACCAAATATTTATATGGACTTTACTTTTTGTCTTCTCAGATATATGGTCACTATTGACACATGGACTGTTTAATTGCCTAATCCAGTCATTACTTTATTTATGAGATTATCTCAATAGTTACAAATATATTGTCTAAACAGCAGTGTTATCCAGCTATCAGTTGTGCCTAGCTAATAGCATGGTAATTACTGCATTTATTAACTCCCTTGCATTCTAATGTCCCAGGAAAAGGAATAATTCAGTGTCCATAGGGGGTGCTTTTAAATTGTCATATATTATTTATTTTGTGGTTTTGTCACATTGGGTGAGTGTGTCTCCCTCGGAAAGTATGCACACATTTATTTCCTTGAATGATAATTTCTTCATAATACATTTTGAGCATTTCAAAAGTCTGCAAATTCAGAATTTTGAGTGTGCATTATCCTTTTTGTTCTATTTTGTGTGAAGAATTGGGAGCTAGGAACTCTGCAGGAATCTGATGCATCTATTTTTGATTAAGTGCTGGGGGCCACTTTTTTTTGTAGTATTTAGTTATGATGCTCCTTTAAAACCGGGGAAAGGGGGGGAAAAAAAGCCCATAATAAGTAAATGAAAAAAAGCACCTAAATATATTCCTATACAAAGACTAAACCAACAAATAGAATTTTCCCACCTGCTTCCAGATCACCATGAGATAGGGATTTGTATGCATTCAAACTGAGTTTTGTGCCAGGACAATCACAAACAACTGCCCATAGTGGAGGAAAGAAAGTTTTGCCATGGCAGAGAATAAAAACGACGAAAGTCCAATATGAGCACTATGGGATTAAATAGGAAAAATACTTACTATCTTCTTTGGGAGCCAAGCAGTTCTAATCAGCTCATTACCTGTTCCTTGCCTCCATTTAATCAAAACACATGCAGAGAGCAGCATTAGTTATGGTATCATTGTCTACACCTGAAGCATCTTTCTCATTGATACCAGGCTCAAATTCAAGGTTTTTACTGCAGTATAACACATCTGATGCATGGTATAGATGCAGTGTTGTGTGTGTATGATGAATGCATTATGGTACTCCTAAAGTCAGGACAAATAAATCATTATAATTTACTCCTCTTTTCTAGCCTCACTACTTAAATATTCAATGTATTTTTACTCCAGTTATATGATTTTTTAAAATATTTAATTTGTGGTCATTTTCCAGTTATAATGCATTGACTACCCTATAATGAAAAGGAGAAAGTTTGTTTGCTCTTACATTCACCAAGAATCACAAAATCATGTTTTTACTTGCAAGTGTGAAAAAGTCAAGAAGTATAACATAACAACTGACATTATCATTATTTTTACAGCACCAAGGGTCCTTTAGAATGAAGATCTATGAAAGGGAAGATTTCAGAGGTCAGACGATGGAGTTCACTGAAGATTGTCCCAATGTCTACGAGAGATTCCGTTACAATGACATCCACTCCTGCCATGTGTTTGATGGTTACTGGATGTTCTATGAGGAGCCCAACTATAAGGGACGTCAGTATTACCTGAGACCTGGAGAGTATAGAAGATATACTGACTGGGGTGCTTCAAATCCAAGAATTGGCTCTTTTAGAAGAGTTCACCATTTCCATTAATCTAAGTGAAACAAAACTACAATATTGGTTTCCATTAAATAAAGTAAAGAAACCTATCTTTTCTTTCTGTGTTTTTGTATTCATATAAATATTACACAATACTTAAATAATTATTAATTTTAGTTGATTAATGCACAAATTGGTCATCTCATATAATTAATTACTTCTCTTCTGTCAGTAAATTATTGTTTAGCTACTGACATTCAAAGTTTCAATGATAACATCCAATGGTAACAGGGGAGCCCTAGGTATCAAGTGATACTGCCAGCCTTTGATACCATATATTTTAAAAGAAATTGATGCAAACATGTCTGTAAGTTATTACTAAATAGATGCCATGAGACATGCCCCACGGAGTCTAGTTTTGCAAAAGGTATGTATTTATGGGGTAGTTTGAAGTGTTAAACTGCTACAATGTCCCAAAATGAGATATATACCCATCAATTCCATGTATCAAAATTCTAACTGCAAAAAGTGAAATAGTCAGGTCTGTCATAACGCATTGTACCTTTACAAGATAGTGCAAAGGCATACATTGGGGTGGGGATATTGCTTTACTATAGGTGCCTGAACATAATTTGGGGGTTTGAGCATAGTGGCCCATGCCCAGCAAAATGCAATGGGTATTTGAAAAAAAGTAGGGGAAAAAATGACCACAAACTTCAACATAGATCTGTGAAACAAAATTGTTAAGGCACTATATACACCATAAAAGATACACTGAAGTGTCTACTTTTACAACCTATAATCCTTTTTAGGGTAATTTGAACAGTCAAACTGCTATATTGCCCCCAAAAAATGAAACATAGACTCATCAAATCCATGTATCAAAATAAATAGTCATGTCTCTTATATGTGTCTATAGCTTCACAAGATAGTGACAAATGCATACATTGGGGCTATTGTGTTGCACTGAACACTTAGCTTGAGCATAGTGGCACATATCATACTTACAAAATGCCCAGAAAAATATGCAATGTGTATTTAATAAATGCAAAGAGAAAAAAATATCACAAATGTGAACATAAACTGGTAAAAAAAAAAAAAAGGGTGGCACATTACGGAACAACATATATTATACTTTATGTGATACCCGAGAGTATCTTCTTACATAAATTATGGCCTCTGTTGGGTAATTCAGATATTTGAACTGCTATAATGTCCCAAAATGAGACATAGGCCCATCTAATGCATCCATCAAAATTCTAACTGAAAAACTGAAATGGTCAGTGGTGACGTTTGGGCAATTGCTTATGTTTTAATTACATCTTCATATAATATTCATATACGGGTATATAGATCCCAATGTTGTGAATTTGTTTAGGCATATTCATTGGCATAGTTTATATATCTTCAGTTGTCTGTGTGCATGTATGGTTGCATTGCCAATGCTGTTAAACGGCCTGGAGAGGCCCAGGAAAGGGGAGAGGGACCTTGCCCACAGTCCCTCTCATTTTTCCAACGATTCTGACGGCCCTTTTTATGACGCGGCATGTACATGATTATGCTGATAACGTCACGGCCTGCCAAAACATTTGATTTCAAAGGTTTTAGGGGTGTGGCTATCAATTAAAGATGTAAGATATTCAGGGTAATTGCCCTGTTGTGGTTTCTGTTTACAGTTCCCAAGAGTGCGTTGTATTTCTGTGTATATTTTGGAAACTTTGATCTCGGCTTTTCTCTGACTATCCTCTGCTCTGTTCTCCCTGACTCGGCTATTGGTTTTTCGCTTCCCTGACTTCCGGCTTCCCTGACTTGGCTTGCCCCTGACCATTCTCTATTCTAATAATGTATAATCCATCCATTCTAGGGATAGTTACCTAATCTATTATCATATTCACTGCATGTTGGGTCACTAGGTATCATGACAAATATATATTGTAGTTGCCTTTTGTTTATTGATCTACACTAAGCAAAATTATAAATGCAACACTTTTGTTTTTGCCCCCATTTTTCATGAGCTGAACTCAAAGATCTAAGATTTTCTCTAAAAACACAAAAGGCTTATTTCTCTCAAATATTGTTCACAAATCTGTCTAAATCTGTGTTAGTGAGCACTTCTC